TTCCTCTCTCCATCTTCCTCAGGGCCTTTTCTCACCCACAATTTCCTCCTTCATTTTCAACAGACCCTGTAATTTATTGACTCTTACTTATCGTCATCATCTGTTGGTTACGGAAAATTGATTGAGCATTTAATTAACATCCAGTCAATTGAAAAATTAATATTTCCAAACAACCCTCTCAATATTGACCGCTCGTCAATTTTTAGACTGCCATATGAAGATCATTTTTTAAATATAAATTTCAAATTAAAAGAATATGGATATATATATTTATTTATTTGTTTTAAGGTAAAATGAAATCGATAAAAAATTGACAGGCAATCGTTTTTTTTTTACTCAATTTTTTTTATTTATTTTTTAATATGTATTTTTAATTTAAAATAATGGTATATTAAACAATTAATGTTTATACAGTGGTATTTTATAATCTTTATAATTTATATTGGTTTATAATTTTTTTTAAAGGGAGAATTCTCACAATATTTTTAAAAATTCTCCGTTGCGAATGAATATTTATCAAAATGATTTGTTTCTGCATTCACGTTTTATCTCGTTAAATCGTTATTTCTTTTCCATTCCTCCGGTACTTGTCTCCACCACTTTCTCATGCTGTCTTCAGTGTCAATGAGAGAAAAAAATATGAAAAATAAAAAAAATAGAGGTAGAAGTGGTAGATCTTTTCGCTTGACTAAACCTGTGACATAACCGGGCACTTCATCTTTAAAATCATCTCCCTCTGGGTTTTCTAATCTTTCACCCTTCAACGTTTCCCAGGTATTTCTTTTTTCTCCATTCCCATCCGGAGATTTTCTTTACGAATACTTCACGCTTCATCTTGTTGGACTATTTCTCATCCAACCCCTCTTCTCCTTCATCGGGTTATCAGTATCGATATCTCTTCCTCGTCTCCGCCCATCGCCCACCCACTATTTTTTCACCTCTCTTTCCTCTAGGATAGAACACCCACATGGACCTTGGGGTGGAGTGTCATTCCGTTATAATTATCGAATCCATTTTTTATTGAAATTTTCTCGGAGTTTTACGGGATGAACTGAAAATTTCACGTTATTTTTCGGTTTTCTTACGGAAAAATTACTTCTCTTTTCTCCCATAATTTTTTGCAAAATAATATCCCCCCTCTCCCAAATTTTCTAGATTATGGAATTTTTTTTCGGACATTTAATCACCCCCAAAAAAATCCTCAAGAGTTTCTTCTAAAAAATTGTTTAATAAATTAATACTCAAGAAAAATGATGACATCAATTTATTTTAAATCAATGGAACTTCCACCAGAAATTGTAGTAAAAAAAAACTTTATTATATAACTATATACACTACAATAACTTTAACAACAAATTCCAATTATTTATTGTGTAGTTATTTAATTTTGACTGCAATTTCTGTAAATATTGATAAATATTTCTCTCCGTGCATTTCCGTAATTGAAAATCGCTTGATAAGAATATTAAAATCCACGAATTCCGTAGATTTCGCGCTAAAAATAATTCGTAGAAGTTCTAAATTAGTTAGGAGACTCGTCTACGAGAAGATTAGATAACAAAATAGTAGCGGTTCTCACGATAAACTGATCACACCGGCTTTAAACTTCAAAGCAGTCTTATCATCTTGCCTGATAAACCAGTATCATATTAACGAAACAATGTCTCCAGAGATCATACGCAAGAAACAATTTCCGACGTCAACAATTCGGAAGCAATTGTGAAAATAATTAACGAATTACATGAACTGTCAATAATTTATTTCACCTGCTCTCTCCACTCTAGACTCGCACGTGTGAACAGAAAAATTGTAGATAAGACTTGAAATGATAAAAATTCTGCATATGATTTTTCACTTTTTTTTTAATCCCCAATAATAAATTAATTGAAGAGGAATTGAGGCGGAAAAACAAATAGAAGAATTCTGTGAATTGGGAGCATATCGGAGTCATTGATTAATTGATTAAATAGGATGAGTCGCTCGGCTTAAGAAATCATGAAGATATGTGTCGATGAGTTAATGACAGATTGAGCAACTTATCAAAAATGTTTAATTAAGAAATATGAAATTACAGATGGACACTTCCTGTTTATTCTGATAATTAATTCCACTCTTTGGTACTCACGTTTTTACCTGATCCCGAGGGAAAAATCTTCAGAACCAATGAGAGAATCAATAATCATTTGTACAACAGTAATAATAATTAATAATAATAATTGTTTATAACTTATTGCAGTAAATAAAGGGAAAAATTATGAAAAATCGAAAAATCATGAAGATGAAAAATTTTTTTGTATCTTAATTTACAGTTTAATATTATAATAAAAATATTTACTGTAAAATTCAATTGGAAGAAATAATTTCATGAATTCTAGGTGAAATTGAAAATTAATCAGGCATTTCCTTTGAATTATATTTGTTCACCGCGAATCTATCGGTTGACACCTGAGAAATTAATCGATTAATTTCATTCAATCGATAATCGTCCCGTTCCATCTGTCACATTTTTTACATCTCTATCTCCACATCAGAAAGATACTGAATTAGTATTAATCATTTGTTCACCGGAAAAATTGATAAAAATTATCCAGATAATTTCCTCTTCTCTCAGTTTTTAAGAATATATTTATTATAATCCCAAAATTTTCGCAGTGATTTGTTAAATAGATGTTAAATTAAAATTGTACGACAGAAGTATTAATTTGAGTCTTAAAATCGAATACGTTTATTCAGAACTAATAATTAAAATCGACTTGCACCATTTCGATGTTTCACTGAATGATCTATTACAAATTGAGTCGACCTACTCTACTTATTCTTGATGAACTGTAAGAACTTTTTCTCCAGAGAAAATAGCGAGGTTTGAAGGAAGGATTCCATGGTCTCTACTTTCAAACAATCAAGACAAATTAATCATTGACAATTTACTATATACTATATATACACTAATATCATATATATATACTATACATATACTAATATCATCTACTATTTCATCATCATGGAATTTTTTTCGTATTGACATTAAAATTATTGAAAGATAGCAGAATCTCTCTAAAAATTCAGCAATTTGATCTAGATCCATAATTACTCCCAACGAATTAATTCACTCCTGTCACTCAACTGCTAATTGGCTACAGGTAATTATCATATTTTTTTTAATGGAAGTTTATTTTATGAGTACCCTCAATCGGTGGAAATTCTAGAATATTTAAAACGATATTTTCATTACAACACAATTAGAACAGGTATTTAAAAACAAATTATGATTTCTGAAAATGTAGATAGGATTGAATGAGTAATAAAAACATTAATTCTCATTAATCATCAATCATTTATTCTAATGAAATAGATATTTTATTAAGGAAAATCGGTGCAGCTCCAAAAAATACATCGATTAATTCGAAACCGCGGAATATGAAAAGCTCTCAACCCCGAAAAAAGAAAAAGAAAAAACCTGAAACCCTAAAGATCAATCACTGGAACGAATCGAAATGAGATGTCAGGTGAGAGAAAAAAATACCGAACGACCCTTTTTCGAAAATGATCCTATATTCAGAGAAAATCTCCCAAAAATAACAACAATATAAAATCCTTAAATATCTCACCAAATGATTAGTTTCCCTTATCAAAATTCAGGTTTCCAAGATAAACCGAAAATTCAACCGAAAAGAAAAATAACCGATTGGGAAAATGTCTGAAAATCCGAGGAAAATAAATGCCCGAGGGATTCCATAAATCACAAACAATTAAATAAATAAAAAATCAATAGAAGTCGATTGATAAATCAATAGATCGAGTGGATATAATCGAAATGAGATGTCAGTTGAGAGAAAAAAAATACCGAACGACCCTTTTTCGAAAATGATCCTATATTCAGAGAAAATCTCCCAAAAATAACAACAATATAAAATCCTTAAATATCTCACCAAATGATTAGTTTCCCTTATCAAAATTCAGGTTTCCAAGATAAACCGAAAATTCAACCGAAAAGACAAATAACCGATTGGGAAAATGTCTGAAAATCCGAGGAAAATAAATGCCCGAGGGATTCCATAAATCACGAACAATTAAATAAATAAAAAATCAATAGAAGTCGATCGATAAATCAATAGATCGAGTGGATATAATCGAAGTGAGATGTCAGTTGAGAGAAAAAAAATACCGAACGACCCTTTTTCGAAAATGATCCTATATTCAGAGAAAATCTCCCAAAAATAACAACAATATAAAATCCTTAAATATCTCACCAAATGACTAGTTTCCCTTATCAAAATTCAGGTTTCCAAGATAAACCGAAAATTCAACCGAAAAGAAAAATAACCGATTGGGAAAATGTCTGAAAATCCGAGGAAAATAAATGCCCAAGGGATTCCATAAATCACGAACAATTAAATAAATAAAAAATCAATAGAAGTCGATAGATAAATCAATAGATCGAGTGGATATAATCGAAATGAGATATGCATACCGATAAAGTGGAATGAAATGAAAAGAAATAAATGATTAAAAATCATTCTCTCCCTCGGTCTCTCCTCCCCCTCCCTTCACCGGGACTTGTCTCACCGTGGGGGTTTCTTCTCCCCCACAACCCCCACTCCTCATCCTACGAGATTTTTCAAAAAATATAACATGTCCTGACGAGACATTTGGAGACTCAGTACGATCGCGTCTGCTCGATGGGGCAGTTGGTGTGCACTTCTCCAGCCATTCATTTTACCCACGTGCCCCATCACTAACGCGTCTCGTGCTCATAAAATCCACCGATAATCATCAACAATTACTGATAATCATCAATATCTATTAACTACATAATTACTTTAACGTCGTTTTAATAATTTATCAATAATAAAAATAAAATAAAACAAAATAATCATCAAAAATAGCCAATCTTATTTAAGTTATTCAATCAATATTCTCGAACCACCAGAGAGGAAAATTTTTTGTATTAATTATAATCAATAATTATCGATAATTATCGATAATTATCAATAATCGTTAATATCGAATAAACGAGGATATTTATTGGTTTAATGGGAGTCTAGTAATCTGTCAATCAATATTTCTAAACCAACGGAGGCGAAAAATTTTGCATGCCACTCATGTGTGTAATAATCCGTAATCAATGGTAATGAGTGATAATGAGTGAAATAAATTAATTCTGTTTGTCTATATTTATCTTGGGTGATATTACTATCGTCGGGGCTGGACTCAATCCAGTGGGAGCATATCGGAAAGGTATATATGTGGTTATTGATGGCTCTTCAATCATCATCTTCCTTGGTTGACCCGTAACGAGACACGTTGACGTACTGATTACACTCGTTTCATCAACATCTTATTGTTACACCGACTGATACAATTGTACAATCGGCAGTTATTGGTATGTCATATTGACATCGGCGAGGACACTGAGATAAATATTTTTCGGTAAGTCAGATTTCAAGCAAAAGGAAATTTATTTAATAATAATAATGATTGTATAATAAGTGATATATAATCATTGATTTTGTTGCCAAGTTAATTGCCATGAGAGAATTGCATTTTTTTCGAGAAGTTTTTCGTCGATTTCTCGGAATGCAAGGCAGATTATGATTTTTTTATAGATACCTTTTTTGTAGCTCTCATCTTTCTCTGGAGAAAATGTTCATATGAAAAAGTCGCTATGTTTTTTTTATTTCGAGATATTGGCTGAAAACTCGCCTCGGGATAAATGCTCTTTTTCTAGTTTTTCGTTTTTGCCAATTATTTTTTATTCAGTGTTATTTTGTTGCTAATTTTCAAGTGACAATTTATAAACTGGCAGTGGGATGGGTGATTACGAAATGTTAGGGGATAAGTTTTGTAAATATTTTCGTCGGTGAAATTTCGGTTACTTGAAATATTTGTAATTGAAATGTGAAGATTTTCTCGGAGTTGGGAAATTTAGTTTGAAGAAAGTCATTGTTTTCGTTAGGATAATTAATTAAAAATAATTACCCAATTACCCAGTGTAGAATTGAAAAACACGATAATTTGAGATTTCGACGATGGATATCTGACCAATGACGAGGTCAAGGTTTCAGAAGTCTCGATAATCATTTTTCAATGTATCAATAAAATACAATCCAGATTAGCAAAATAATCACGGTATGAAATATTTTGCATAAAAAATTAAAGCGGAAGTATTCCGATTTTTCAAAAATCGCTTCCGTAATCGGTCAATTCGTAATTACCCATTCCATAATTAATATTAAACAAAAAATTGAACAGAAAATTGTAACAGGTACTGAAAAACAAATTAATCATTGCTCACAATCCAGGGATGATTGAATGACTGATAAAATCATGAATTTGCAGCCCAAAATTACAATAATTATCTACTTCAAATTTATAATTTTCATTAAAACAATCGGAAGCAGCTTTAATTTATATAAAATCACCGAACCTGTAAATTCCTCAATCAAAAATGAATTCCAAAATCTTCCCTTAATATATCTCTATTTATTTTCAAATACTCAATTTGTTGATGCTAATTTCCGAAGATTCAAGAGGTAAATTAAAATTTTTGTTTACATTATTCTCCAAGTCACAGGCCAAATGTTGAAGAAAGAAAAAAATTTTTCCGATTGTTCGCGATTTAATTCTTCTCTAGAATTTAATTATATAATTTATATTAATAATAATACTAATAATAATAAATAAATATGATAATAATTTGTATATATTTATTATTGTAGTTATTACAATAAATTAATAATAATGATATAGAGTATTATTCATAAGAATATCTAATTATATGTTAATTAGAAAAAAAAAATTTTCCGTCTGACTTGATCTGATAAATCTGATAAATCTGTCTTGTCATTTGGAAATGGTTCGGCTAAAGGTTTCAGGGGATGAATAGTTTTTCTTCAGTTGATGATTCCTATCTCGGAATAGTTAGAGACGAGAAATTTTTCTATTCTAGACCGATAGAACGGTCACGGCGGCTTGATTACGGCGAAACGCCGCAAATTCAATGGTTAATTGCAATGAGGAAGTGGCATGCACCGGAAATTAATGGAAAAGTGATTTTTCATTCTCCAGTCGGGTTCACTTCATATCACTAATCAACTTCCGCTTGCCTGTTATCACCGCGAATGATAACTAAAGAAATGATTTTCAAAATTTGAGGAGCTAGATTAGAGAATTGATGAGACGATAGGGGCGATGAAAATTGTTGGAGTGAAATTTCGAGATTTTCAGATCTAAATCCTGAAGTATTTCCTTATTTTTTCAAATCTCGAGTTCAACTTTCACTGGATTATTCATTAAAAATCCTGTAAATTTGTTTAAAAAATAAACAATTCATGAATTCTCGCAACACTTGAATTTTCATAACTATTAATAAATGTACAAAAATTATGAGGATTAAAATAATTATGGTTATCGATCCAATTAGAATGAAAATAATTACACCGTAATCTGGTAATTATAATTGTGCCGATATGACGTATGCGTTGTTCTATCTAATGATGATTACAACCGTACACCGCGTGAGATAGCAAATATGCTGAGGTCTGTAAATACTCCATAAATCAAGAAGAGCAAAAGATTGGAATCAGTACGGTCGAGGCTGACGAAGATTCCACTCGTTGGAATTTCTCCAAAGCAATGATGATAATTTCCACCAATAAATCCCAATTATCGCTCAATTCTCCATTACCCTCGGTGAAATAATTGAGTAATTAGTCAAAGGTGACTTATCAGTGGTGCACCATTCGCTCAAAATTTTCTTATCAACTCGTTCGACTCAACTAGGCCACATAAACAATTCTATTATTATTGTTCATTACAATGGGGCATTATTTGAATTTTTTACGACTTTTCATATGTTTATTTCGACACGCGGAATACAATGTGATGCCAATAGAACGCGCAGTAGCGAAAATACTTGTGTTTGGCTTCAGAGGATGAAATTGCACTCTGACCAATCTCGAGAGCTTGAAATATTCTCATAATCGTGAGGATAAACAGAACGAAGATCTCACGAGGGTGACAACTTCCTGGATCACTTCTCATTAAATTTCAATTGAATTTGGGAATCAGAATTTTACAAGCGGCGAGGAACAAAAATCGGTGATAAAGTTATTTTTATTTTTAATTTTATAAGTTTTTAATTAATTCAATTTTAATTAATTACTCTTTCGAATTTTTTTAATCATCCTGAAAATTCTGGAACATTGGGTAATAAATCTATTTTGAATATAAATTGAATTTCCAATTCATTGAAATGATTATTGAATTTATTGGTAATTTATTCAAATTGAGAAATAACGAATATCTCTGAATAATTAATTATAAAATACAAAACATGAAAGAAATCCGGTGCTGTTTACCATGAATTTCCCACAAGAATAAAAAATTACGACTAAAATTTAAATAATTGGCGAAGGTGTAACGAAAATTTAAATAATTAGCAACAGCGTAATTGTTGTCGAAATTCCGGAGTGAAAAACAAGAAAAAAATCACATGATGAAAAAAATCTCGTATGTGATACTTTCGCTCCAGGAATTGACAAATTATCCCATAAATATTCGACGTCATCATTTTTGTTTATTTTCCGGATGACTTGGTGATTGTGATTGTGATAATAAAATACAACTGAATGACTGAGAAAATTCCCGACATGTCGAGTGATTAAATCACTCATTACGGACACATGTAAATGACAGATAAATGGTACACCGAGTAATGGAAGGATTAAAAATAATAGATAAATATAGGATTTAATAAATCGAATGATTGATCATCGAATCCTGCCAAGGAATTAGCAATTGGAGTGCTCTGTCGAGTTCTTCGGGTTTATTTCAGTCGGTGCAATTAATCACGAGTTGATAACTGAAATAAAATGAATTCTGCCCCTTCCTGTAGTGTATCTCTTGGCCAACGACAATCAGCAGTTTACTACTGACAATTCATTGCCAGAGTAACCTCCATCCCTCAATTGATGAATGCGTAGTATTTCAATGAAGGAGTCATGAGTATAAGATTATTTTTCGTATTTATCCGGTTATTCAGTGTTTCACTCGTATTTACTCCGGGTAATACGAGTTTTCCTAATTATTTGGTAATTATTTTGTTTTAGTCTGCTGTACAGAACGGGAGAAGATCGTTATGCTGTTATCAGGGGCTTGGTTTGAATTGATATGCGTGTCAATTTGTGCTATTGTTGCATTGGCTACTAGTTACAGGCCACCCTGGTGGTTTTGGTCTGGGACATCTCATCAGTCTGAGAGTGAGTTAATTTCATTT